ATAATAAATTTTATAATAAACATTTCCTTTAGCATACTCACACTCCTTTAAAAATTTTTTTTTGTATTATTATTTTAAGGTTCAGTTAACTTCTGAACAGAGAGCATAAGTAATTATACTGCTTAAAAACGGCTTTGCTTCAAGAGAAATTGCCGTCAAAGTTGGTTGTAAAAGCCATACAACCATTTCAAGACTCAAAAAAAAGTATGAAGAAACTGGTAAAGTTGAAAACAAACCTGGTTTAGATCGTCTAAGAAAACTGAATGAGCAAAATGAACGTTCTCTTATAAGACGTTTAATGACAAAGGAATGTATAACCGCGGTCTAACTCCAAAAATCACTAAAAACTTCTGACAATATTGAAGTCAGCACTAATACTGTTCGTAGAGCTTTAAAAAGAAATGGTTTGGTAGCTCGAGTAAAGCGTAAAAAGTCACTTTTATCAAAAAAACATCGTGAAAAATGCCTTAAATTTGCAAAGAGATATAAGAATTGGACAATAAATAAATAGAGCAAGATTGTATGGTCAGATGAGTCCAAATTTCAAATATTTGGTTCAGATGAACGTGAGTATTATTGGAAAAAAATAGGAGAACCCCTTCAAGATACTCATATTAAACCTACTGTTAAGTTTGGTGGTAGAAGTATTTTTGTATGGTGATGTTTTACATTTTGTGGTGTAGATTATCTTTGTAAAATAGATGGTAAGCTTAATGCAGAACTTTATCGTAAGATTTTGCATAAAGACTTTATGGAGACTTTGCAGTACTATGAATTAAGTACTGATAATATTATCTTTATGCAAGATAATGATCCCAAACATACCGCTATACTAACTAAAAAATGGTTCGAAGACAATAATATAGAGCTTTTACCTTGGCCACCACAATCTCTCGACTTGAATCCAATTGAACACTTGTGGAATGATGTGGATCGTCGTATTAGAGCATTAGATATTGAAATTAGAGGAAAAGATATGTTATGGGAGCAAATTCATAAGATATGGGAAAAAACTGCATTGGAAACATGCATCAAATTGATAGAATCAATGCCAGAAAGAATAAATAATGTAATCAAAGCAAAAGGTGGTTATACTTGATGGTGAGAATATTTGGTGAAATTTTTAATTGGGATTAATTTAATTTTTTTTAAAAAATTTTAATAAATTTGTTATATTTGCGAAAACGCCATATTAAACGCACCATCATTTAATAATGAATCACGTGATAAAAATTTTCTGATTTATCAAGTATTATTAAAATTGGTGTATTATGAAGATCTTATAGTATACTATATATTTAATAAATATTCAAATAATCAGATTTTGTTATTAATCATAAAACACATAATTAATAATAAGCAGTATAGTGGTGCGTTTTTTTTGGAAGCCACTGTATATCTATATATATAAAAATGAAATTAAAACCTAAATTTAAAATTTAAGATTAAAGCTAAAATTAAAGTTAAAAATGATCAAAATCAAATCATTATATTATATGATTTATATTATAATTATAATAAAATCTAAAAAAATAATAAACATATAGTGATAATCAAAAATATTGCATTATTATTATATTAAATTTTATAAATTTTATATACAAATTATTGTAGCTAGTAAAATGCATTTATATTTGTTTTAAAGATTGAATCCCAAATAATATTTTAAAACAATTTTTTTGTCTAATTCATAATGTAAACTTAAATAAATTATCTAATTTTTAAAATTATGAATTTTTAAAATACAAGTTTAGAATCACCAAGAGAATTGAATTTTAGCATTAATTTTACTGTAATCTTTTTAAATAAAAAGTTAAAAATTTATAATTTTACAAATCAAACAATTTATTTAAGTTTATATTATGAATTAGGCAAAAAAATTGTTTTAAAATATTGTTTAAGACTCAACCTTTAAATAAATATAAATGCATTTTGTTAGTTATAGTAATTTATATTTTAAATTCAATGTAAAAATGATTTAATATTTTGACTATATTGTATATAATTTTGCTCAATATCATTTTATATCTTATGAAAAAACTAATATTCAACTTATCATAATTAGACAAATCTAATGAACTAAAAATCATTGGTTTTTAATCAGCTATTCTTATGATAATGATGATTGAATTTTTAAATTTTGGTCTTTTATTTTTAAATAAAATTTATTAAATTATAATTCTTGTCAAAAATTAAATTACAAATTATATAAAATTAAATTAATAAACACTTTAGCTTATTAGATTTGTCTATTATACTAAGTCAAGTAATAATTATTTTATGAGATAGAATGAAATTATACATGGTTTATTTATCAAATTTTTATATATAATAAATCATAATGGTTTGATCTTTCATATATTAAAAATAGATGAATTTCAATATATGTAAAATGTTTAAAGATATATAAAAATCATATATAATATATTAATCATCATAATCATACATATTATTTGAGTAAAGATAAGGGACGAAACTCAAAAAAAGCAATTAATAAAAGCTGAAGTTATATTAAAATATAGTAAAAAATATAATAAATCCCAAAATTAGCTGAATCTATATTAAAAACATAGTAAGAGATACAACTAAATTATTTTGAGGAAGTTTTAAGGATGTATCTATATAACTGAGTTATTTAGATTACTTTTGTATAATATTATCTTATAAAATTTTAGAGTTATTATAAAGGATATTATTTATTATTATCTTTATTTTGCTAATTATTAACAATAAATATTTATTAAAAAAAAATCAAAATTAATAAAAATCAAATTTATATATTTTTTTATAGATTGTATCATTAATATATGAAAATTTTGCTAGAAAAATAAAGCTCTGAACATTTTTTATTAAAATTTTAATTTTTATTGCATTTTAATTTTTGATAATGTTAGATTAAAATGAAATAAATATTAAAATTTTAATAAAAAATGCTTAGAGCCTCATTTTTCTAGTAAACCTCTCATATATTTAAGTATTTTGTTATAATAAAATTTTTAATTATTTATAATATAAGAGATTTGCTAGAAAAATGTAATTCTGAATATTTTTTATTAAAAGTTTAATTTTAATCTAACATTATTAAAATTAAAATTCAATAAAAATTAAAATTTTAATAAAAAATTCTCAAAGCTAGCAAATCTTCTATATGATAATAAATGTGAATTTTTATGATACGAAACTAATATCACATTATTATCACTTATATTTTTGTTTTAGAATATTATATAAAGGTTTTAGATTATCATAACTTGAAAATTTTCTATTATTATAATCAATTTTAACAATTTTATTTATAAATTTATTTAAGATATACCTTTTAATATAAGTAGATTTATATCAATAATTTGTAAATTTAACTTTAAAAAATTTTTAAAATAAAAAATTTTAATATATTAATTTATATTTAAATAATAACTAATATAATCAAATACCTTTAGCTATTAAAGATAAAATGTACCATTATATTGTGATAGCCTTTTGATAAAATAAGGTTTATAATTTTTGATAATATTTTTATTTATTGAAATGAAAATAATCTCAGATTTAAAATTAAATTTAATAATCTAATTTGATTACATTTTGACTGATATCAATACCACTATCTTTTCTTTATATAAAATGATATTTTTTTAAATCATAATGTTTACCATTTCATAAAACTAACTCAAAAGCATTATATAAGAAAACAATTTTTTTGGTATATTAAGTGGTTTTATTGCAAAATAATTGATAATTAATTGAATTTTACTTTTTATAAATGTATTAACTTTATGAGATTCATCAAATTCAGATTTGATTATAATTTTAATTTTGTCAGTAACAAACTTAATTTTGCAAGGTTATCTCTTGTTACCAAATAAGAATGATAAGGAAAATTTCAATTGATAGTTATAGTATTATATAAATCTGAATAAAACATTTTTATTATTAATATCTTGAGAACATATTTTAAAATACAAGTTAATATATCCTATAATTGCAAATCTTACAGATTTGATTAATTGAACAAAATGATTTTTTTTTATTTTATTATTTGCATCAAATAAAGAATAATACAAGCTACTTTTTTTAGTATTGATATCCTAGTAATTGCAGATCCTTATGAAAAGCTTCAAGTATGTTTTCAAGTATTAGTTGAATTATTTGTTAACTTATTGGTTTAGTCAGGATAAAGGTAAAACAGTTAAAATCTTATAAAGGTCTAAAATTCGAAAAAAAGGTAAATATCAAAGATCAAAACTATAGTAAAACTATCCCTTAAACTGTAGAGCAGTGCGATTTAAGGGATAAGGTTTAGATGTTTAGCCAAATCCAAAATAAGCAACCTATTTGTAACAAATATAGATCTAACAAAGTATTAATTTGTATTTAATAAATAAAAAATAATAAATGAAGTTATATATATATAAAATAAGCTTGAAATTTGGTTGAATCTATACAAAAATTTTTAGCAAAATAATTATTATTTAATTTTTTATTATTTCTTTATCAGAATCCGTAAACTTTTTTTTGAACCATAAGTTTAAAGATTCTATCTGTTGCTTTAATTCCAATCGCTATCATTAATTCTCTATTTTGTTTAGCATAAGTAACGTAACAATTGCTGTTTATTTTCAAAGAAATATCGTTTTGATAGCTTTTGTCACCGGCTACTATGAAAAAAATTGTGGTCACGGGCATTTCTTGTCCACTAGTGTAATCTTGATGATAATCTACTAAGCCACAAACGCATATAAAAAATGAAAAAAAAAAATGGGAAAAAAAAAAAAAAAAAAAAAAAACTTATCAATTAATTAATTGGTAAGGAGGGAAAGTTTTCAGGGTGAATTGATAAAATCCAAATTAAATGAAAACAACAATTTCTTTTGAAGCGTTTTGCTTCATAGATTTTGCGTTCCCATTATAGTTTTTTTTTTAAGAATAATTTTATTGTGGAATCATAGTGCACTAGAAATTAAAACTCATTTTCTCGTGTCTCCATTTAACCACTACATATTCTAATTAAATGATAACTGAGTTATCATGTCTTTTACTCTTTGTAAAATAATTTCATTATCACATTCAATTGAAGAAATGACATAAGGTGGAGATACATGTGCTCTATCTAAAATATGTACAACCGGGTCATCTTTCGTATGAGTTGTTTGAATTCGATTCTTAGAATAATAATAATATAATTAGAAAGATTTATATATATATATATATATTCTAATAAAAAAATATATATTTACCGATTCGATTAACGAAATCAAGTTTTCTTTCCTTTGTTGCATTTTTTCTGAATCATGTTTAAAATCTTCAATCCTTTGATTAATAATTTTATCTAATAGATGTCTTGGTATACCGTTCTTCTCATTATTTACTATAAAAAGAAATCATGTTGTTTTTAAATTTTACCAAATTATTTTTTAAGATTATTATTTTATACCTTTAAATTCTGATACAACATGATGCATAATAACCAAAATTTTGTATTTAGATGGTAATTCATTTTCAATAGAATTATTCTCAACCTATATAAAAAATAAGGATATAATTAATTTCAAATCATTTAAAGAAATTAAATTTATTTTTACCTGTAGTAAAATTATTGTTGAAGTCACAGGATCTATATTGTATAAATATCCTATCAACCCTTTTTCATTATTTTTCAATTTAATTGTACATAATTTTCCTAAAGATTCTTCTATTTGTCCAAATGTTAGATGATATGTAGCATGATTCGACATTTTTTAAGATATTAAGAAAAGAAGTAAAATGTAACGATCAAGTTTTAATTCGATCCTTATACTTTAATGAACACGTGGTATTTGCCTATTTTTGGCGTTTTATTTTAAGCTCATATTCATAGATTCAGGATTTACATTTATAATACAATAAATTCTTCAATTACTTAATCCTATTTCCAATTTGTCTACTCAGTATTTTCTCGCTATTTAATTTAATTATAAAATATAAAAGTCCATATTAAAGAATTAATTTTTTTAAATCAATTAAAATTGTTGAATCATACCGTTCTTCGAGTATATCATGTATTTCTTGAAAAATAATTTCCGCCTTATCAATAGTATCAATTTCTCGTTTAAGACGTGTGATTTCTTTATTTAAAAAGTCTTGACCTTGTTTTTCCAATAAATCTAAGATCAACAATATAAATTAATTCAATTGGATATTTGACAAATGGATACATTTTTTTTTATTTACCTTTCAAAGTTTCGGCTGCCTGCTGCATATTATTTGTAACCTCCATGAATGACGCGTTTTTGTCAAAAGACGTTGCAGCAACACGAATTGCGGATGACCAACGAATTCCTACAGAACAATTTATAAATAAATCTTAAATAATTAATAATCAATAATACTAAATATAATGATACCTTCGCGTTTCAAATCGGACAAAGTCATAAAGATCCTATCGGCACTCTTGTAAAATATAAAAACAATTAATTTCTTAATTATTATTTTGTATCAAGACATTAGACATACATACCATATATTTTGGACAATGGATCAGGTCTTTTATTTTGTATACAAAGTTATCATCAAGGGCGCGATGAATATCAAGTGTATTTATAGCTCGAAAATCGCTAAGAAAAACAAATAGTTATTAGTCCATTTATTACAAATTTTACATTTGAATAATAATTAATAATAATGAAACATACTTGTGTAATTTGATTTGTTTTGCTGATCTCAAATTTAAAATTTTGAACTTTTCATTCTCTTTCATCATCATATTATCGAGGTTTTTACCCAAAGTTTCAATATGGTTAGCAAAAGGGAAAATCTTCTCTTGTAAAAAGCCCGAAATCTAAAAAATCGAATTTTATGAAAAAATTTTCAAAGATTTTGTTTTGAATGATACAACTAATTAATAATAAAAGAATACCTCTTCAGCTTGTCCAATAAAGTTCGTTCTTGTTAATTGATTGATATTGATTAAACGTTGAATGCTTTTTTGTTTTTTTTCCTATTCAAAAATTTCACATTAATTATAACAAGTTATAAGCAGAAAGTAATATATATAATAAAAGCAACTTACTATATCTAAATTATAACCATTAACTAGGTTAAACAAGGTCGACATTTCATCACGAGAAACCACCAAATTTTGGTTTTGACTTTCAAGCATGTCAGCAAAACTCATTACCATCTTAAGTGCGGCTTGATTAGCTTCTAACTCAGCATTGGAATTTAACACTTGTCTACCTCCTCCAAGGAAATATTAAATTAGAAGTTAAGAAAACTTGATCATTTACTTCCAAAGATTAATGATAAATATCTGTTACAAATACATTATACTATCATCCATCGGTAAGTGCATATACTTTTTTTCTATATATACTTTTATGAGCTGAATTTCTTGTTGGATTTTTTCCTTCAGCTTAAAAATATTGTTAAGAATTGCTTCAGTTTCAATGAATTTTTCTACATGATTTTCTCTACATTGCTTTTATTATATTACGAAAATTATTTAGTACGTTAATTAACAAAAAATTGAAACAAAAAAAAGTCACCTGTAACAACCGCTGAACATTATGGATTGAATCTTCAACGGAAGTATCAGTTTTTTCAACGAATTGATCGGTATATGAACTAAAAAATATATAACCAATATGTATGTTAATATATATTATAAAATATCTGTGTAAAATATTTGAATTTTAAAAGATATACCACATCAAATCTTTGGAAGAAGATTTCATAACACTTGAGACAGATTTAAGCAATGATTTCGGCAGAGTTGTTCTTAGCATTTCCTGTCGTTAACAGTAAATAAAGGAGATATTAAAAAAAATTCTGGAAATCATAATTATGTAAAATATGTCAATTTAAAACCTCAATTGAAAAACGAATATCGTTTTTCGTGCTTCCGTCAACAAGATCTTTACTATAAATTATTTGGTCAGTATTTTTTATAACCTATTAAAAGACTTAAGTTTAAAAAATGATCAAACCTCGAAACCATATTCTCTCCAAGCGATTTAAGTTTTTCACAAACTTTTTTGATCCTAATCTTTACAACATTGGTTTATAGTTAAGTTGTATAAAAAAGGAATTTTTTTTCGATTATTGATATTTTAATAAAGGTATTCTTACGGTCATTGTTGTCTCACTTCCTTTTTGCGTCATACTATATTAATATTTTCAATTCTCTACGCGTTAATAAAAGATAGAATGATATCAAGTAATATTATATATAATTTTCAAAATACCTAATATCGTCCTTCATTCTGAATTTTCTCTTATGTTCTTCTAGGAGGTTTCGATATTCATTCTCAATTATTGTAAAAGACTTATAATTTTCTCGGAATGTTTCTTTCATATAAATCTTATTCTTTTTTTCACGCAATTCTCCTTGAACTTTTCTTATCTGAAATTCTAATCAAAGGATTATTATAATTTTAAATTTAATTAATGAGTTCATTCAAAATATTTTTATTATATTACCAATATCTGCTATACGTGAAATTAAACGCTCAATTTGTTCTTCGCCATCTCTTATATTTGTATTGATCTGTGACAATTTTTTTTCAAGCTTTAATTTTCGGTTTATATGATGCGATTTTACTTTCAGTTGCTGATCTCTAGGTAGAAAAATGATATCAATGACATTGAGCTTTATTTGTATATTATGTTGCGTTTAATAATAAAACTTGAATTGATTAATTTAGTACACTTACACAAGGTGTTCATTACGAATTTGAACTACTTGTCTGATATTAATCATAGAACATAAAAAGTGATATTATATATCGATTTTTTATTTAAAATAAAAAAATTATCAAGCCATATAATTAAATGTATATAATACTTGGTAGGTCTTACGCGTTCCATAAGAAACTTGAAAATCGGAATGAATTCATTCTTGCAAAGCCTAACGGATTATAACAAAAGTGTCAAATAATTTTGCCATTGACCAAAATCACGTCGTTGAAATATCTTACTTTTGTATATCTTCTTTGGTGATTTCTTTATCGGAAATCACGTCGTCTATTATAGACGTCGAATGACCTAATCTGTAACCAAGCTCGTTTGTTAACCATAAATAAACCGCTTGAGAATTGGCTGAGTTATCTATTTGTTTTTGTTTATCCTTTGCGTATTTTGATTGAAATACTCGAGTGCTACTCATAGTGTAAAAAAAAAAAAGACAAAATTTAAGAAAGGCGCGTAGCTTTAAAAATTTGGGTGACTGTTAAGATAGAAGATAGATCAGATCTGCAAATCACATGATCGACGCGGATGATTTCAGTAATAAAATAAATTTTTTCTATTTGAACACATAATTATAAATGTTACCAATTTAGTTTTTAGAATATAGAAAAAACAAATATCAAAAATCTAGTGTCAATTTTTTCATAATTAATATTACGAATCTTACGGAGCGATTGGATTTTATCATAAAATAAAATTTTTATCAATACTATTGAACTTGATCTAATACATCACATACAGTTATCGAGAAAATACTTCCGCATCATAGCCGTAGTAAACATATTTCTTTATTGAACTTTTTCAGCATATGGTAATACTGTAAGATTACTGGGCCAGATAGACCAAAGAAATCGGATTGCTTAGAGCCATGGCAAACAAACAGTTCAACTCAAGTAACAAGCAGTTACTAGTGTTCCATCACAGGAATCCAAAGAGAAGAATAGAAAAACAGTTCCCAACTTCTTTGCAAGCTGAAAGTCATTGTTCAAATATTCGTAAATCATAAAATCGGTGATATTATGTCATTTTCACATGACTAGTATTTTATACGCAGTTAAAAAATCATTATCTTTTATTAAATAAATTTGTTATAATGAGTTCATTATAATAAAAGTTAACAAATTCAAATTGACAACTAAAACAAATACAATTTTATAAGAAAAGCTACTAATGCAATCTAATACTACCTTCACTACGATATCTTCCCATTTCATCATATTCGCCAATTTTTGAAATATGTATACTTCCGATTATACAAGTTCCAAATACTGTATTGGAAAATTTATCAAGAATAGTGGTTGCGTTGAAGGGAATTCTATTCAATTCTCTTTGCCTGTTATCATGATTAGGTACGACACCATTACCATCATCTCTATGCCTGGTTTTTATAAGAGTGGCATGCAACTAATTTATATAGGAAAAGTTAACCCAAAAAAAATTCGAAAAAAAAAATTTCATAACATTTTTTTATAGAAAAATTTAAATTCAACGAACCTTTAGTGGGCGATCATCTTTCTTTAAATATCTCGCTTTTTCAAATATATCGGTTAAAAATTCTAAGAAAATAATATCGTTATCTCCTTTTTCTTAAGCAAATATTTTAAAAAAATTCACATACCTCCTAACTTTTCAAGGATATTTCGTCCTTCTGGTTCCTCAATTTTAGAATATAAGACGTGTGTTTTTTCTATATTATATACCGGTCATTACAAATAAATAAATCAATTGGAATTAATATTGAAAAAAAACTTATTTCACGTACCTTTATCGTCACCCATTATTTCAATACCTGTTAGGTCAGAAACTATAGCTCGTGTTCCTATTAAATTATGGATTAAATGATGGATTTCTTGTGATTTTCTTTTAAGTAAACTCACTGCTCCTCTAATATCTTCTTTACTATACAAATTTAACATTCCAATTGTAAGATGTAATGATGGGGGCTTTATAAGTATAGATTCATCTATGTTTGCAAGCTTTAGTTGAAGAACCTCAGATTGAAAATTGTCTACATTTCGTCGAATAGTAGGATCGTTAATTGGTAAAGAAATGAAATGTGTCGGTGGTAAAAAGAGCTTTTTCTATAAATTATTAAGAAAATCAGAAATTGTTCCTAAAAAAAATTTTCTTTAATGATAAATTTAAAATTACTTACATATTCCATAATATCATAAATCATTTGTTTAGCATTATTAACACAACGCTCATAACCCCTAATGTCTATATTAAAAAAAAAGTATATGTTAACCATAATGATCCAATTTAATATGTCGACATTAAATACTTACTAACAAGTTCTTTATCCGAAATAATATTTATATAAGTATTAGTTTCGTACTTTATTCGTTTTATTGTAGCTCCTTGTTTTCCTATAATGTTATCGATAAAACCCATTTTAGCGAATAATTAATTATTTAATGATTTAATAAAATTTACCAATGATGAGCCCGTAAAAAGCCGATGGAATTTGATCGATTGTGATATAATCATTTATAAATCCTTCGTTCTCGGTTTTAATTGCTCTACCGGTTTTATTATCTTTCTTTTCATTTTCAGTCTTTGTGTTAATAATAACTGGTTTCTTATTTTCTTTATCATGTCGAACTAGGAAAACCATTTTTATCATTAATATATTATTTTCAGTCATTCAAGTAATATTAAAATAATTTTACCATAAATATCTTGTCCTGAAGAAAGTCCCTCAGGAAGAGAAGCAGTTGGAACACGAAAATTACGTTTTCCAACGTGTATAATAGATATGCCTTTCATGCATCTTGGTGTTGAGGAAGTTGAAGGAATGCTCATTTTGTGATTAATTCCGGATCGAGATAAATCAGCAAGTTGATGATCTACATTAAAAATCGTTGCATTTGATTTTGATGACGGATGATCAAGATTAAATTATCAACCACTAGGATGATTTGATGCGCACGATAATAATTCACTACATTCTTTTTACCTATTGGATTTGGTATTTGGTATTTTGGTATTTTCTTTTCTTTCTTTTAAAACCTAAAACATTCATCTATTTCCTTCATTTTGAAATTACATTTACATCCGTCTCCTAATTAACTTCCATTCCCTTAATTCCCGTTTATAATCTACCCACTCCACATATATATTTATATATATTGCAATTCATTATATTATGAACCGCGTCTTTCTAGTATTTTTCGTGTTAATCATAACCTTCTTGGTCGCAACATTTTTTATACCATTTTTTATAACAAATCTTAACCATCGATCAACTTATTTACCAAATGATTCTCCACAAATAGATCATGAAACGGAAATTCAAATGCAAAATCAACGAGCTCAAGAAGTAGAAGTTGCCTTGAAAGAAACTCGTATAGATATCAAAGAGAATCTAAAAGACTATACATTTTATTCTTCTATTCCAGGTTCAAATATCAAATCTCGAGAAGAAATATTAGCATTTCGTGAAAAGATGAAATGTATCACTACAAAAGGAAAATGGGTATTTGATAAAACTCCAAGAGAAATTCTTAAACATAAACAAGAACCTCTTTACGGAAAATGTGATAAATCTTCAAATAAAAGGAATTCCTCTATTGAAGAGATATGGGAAAATACTAGAAATTCAGTAAAATATATTTGGAAACCATCACATCAATGCCCACTTCCTAATTTCACTAGAGAAGATTTTTGCTCACTAATTATTGGCCTAAAGTTTTTATTAGTAGGTGATGTATTATCATTTCAACTCCATGAACTATTACTTGATTATTTTCATGATGGACCTGTTCAATGTTATGGTCATATATCTTGTAAAGAACATGTTTTATGTCGACCTTCACCACATTTGGAAGATGCGTATAATTTAACTTCGAAAATGAAGTACGTTCGTAATGATATATTGTCTAGTAAAAAATTTATACTTCTCCCGGGAGACCATGATTACGTGGAATTAAGAAATGTAGAATTACCTTGGATTTCTTTTTCTTATCGTTATAATGTAATCATACTTAATAAAGGTCATCATTATCAGGATGATAAAACTTTTCGATTAACTTTAATAAATGCAATAATAAATATTCGCAAAAAAAGGCCAGATACTCTCATCATCTTTAAATCTGCTACATTAGGTCATCAAAATTGTAATGATCCTGATCTTAAACCTTTAGAAACTAATTATAATATTAATGAATTGAAGAATGTACCTTATCATTGGGATGAAATACATAAACAAAACATGATCGCTAAAGAAATTGTTGAAGCTGCTGGTGGTGTTTATTGGAATTTAGAATATATTATGGAAACTAGAGTTGATGGTCACATTGGCGGTCGTGATTGTTTAAGATGGTGTATACCAGGTCCTAGTGATATTTGGTTAAATTTATTGTTTGTCTTATTGAACGAGTTAAAAATAAATCATTAACTTAAACTTAATTTAATTTTAATAAAAAAAAAATATTTAATTTATAGAAAAAAAAGTTTTGTTTTTCTCTGATAAGTAAATATATCAAAAAAATATTTAATAATTATCCGTTTATTACCAATCAAACTTACAGTGATAATAGAATGCTCGTTGCGACGAAATCAAAAAAAAAAAAAAGATAATAGAATGCTCGTTGCAAAAAAAAAAGAAGAAAAAATAATATATATATTGTAGATCGTATATTACTGCATCCTACGTGCTATTGAATAAATATTGAAACACCATATAATATGTCGTGCGTTAAAGAATATATATATATATATATACACAAAATAAGAAAATTCTCAGGAATAACTTCTCAGCGCCTAGGTGGTGTTGGAGTATTTGGTCGTGATCTTCGTGTTGGATAAGAAATAGTTGTTCTACTGCCTCTTATAGGACTAACGGATCGTCTTCTATTATACGTTTACAAATCATTTTCTTTTAAAAAAAAAATTAAATATTTCATAAAGTACATAAAGAATAACATCCCAAAAAAATAACCTGTATACACCGCCAGGTTGGGGAATTATTGGATCAGGATAACGAGAGGAAGGTAATGGTGAACGACCACGATAAGAAATTGGTGGATCCCTATACATATATATAAATGGTAAGAGAAAGATAAATCGTTAAAAATATTTTATCGTAAGCCCAAAAACTAAAATGTTTTACCTAATTCCTCTTTCATAGCTTCCTCTACGTGGTGGTGGTGGAGAGCTGGGCCGACCTCTGGGTGGATATTGAGGAACATCAGGAGGAGGTAAAGGTCTTCTATCATATCCATCTCGATCATAGCCATCTCTTGGAGGTGCATAATAGTTACGATCATAATTATCTCTACCAAACCGCTCATATTCTCTATCAGGATAATTTCGATCATAAGTTCTATCTCTTTCTCTCTCATACGGTCTATCATATGCACCGCGATATTCTCTTCTGTATTCCACTTCCGGAGGTTCTCTTCCATAGCGATCATAAGGACGATCATATCCACCACGTTCAGGAGGAGGTGGAGGAAGATACCTTTCTTCCCTAATGTATTTATCCCGGTTTTCTCTTGTACTATATGGTTCCTTAACATAATTGTCATTGGAACGACGATCGTCGTATCTACCAGGTTTTCGAGAAACAAATTCACGCCCGATGCTAAATGACAGCAATTATTTAAGACATCAGAATTTCTCAAGGCTATGCTGACTTGTTTGCAGCGATCTCAACACTTGATTAATAGCTCAAACTTGCTTTAAAACTGTTATACTGCACTAGATAGAAGTAGCCAACACCTTTTTTTTTCTTTGATTTCCTTAATAGAAGTTGCTAGCTCCTTTGACCACGACAGTTGCTTACCTAGTACACTCTCGTGCCCAATGACCGACTAAACCACATTTATAACATGTATCGGTGGACTTAGTTTCTCCTCTGTTGTTGTTGTTGTTATGATGATTACTGTGATGTTGTTGATGATTGTAATGACTTTTGAAAGTTCCACTCCTTTCGCCATGAGCAAACTCTACACGGAGATGAGATCCTTGAAAGTCGGTTCCATCAAGAGAAGCAATTGCTTCTTCACATATCTGACGTTCTTCGTATTCCTTTCATTTATTTATGTTGCAGTATATGTCAGTACTAATTCTTTGTCAATTTATGAGTAGAATCTTCTTTCTCTCTATAAGACTATGCGTCCAAAGGATTTCATAAATAAGTAAATTTTCATTTTCATATACATATGTGCATATATATATGAGAGATATAGGTAGAAATCCTTTGGACGCATGAACCTTTTGCAGGTCCATGTAGATCTACTTTTATTGATATTCAAAAATATTCTGATCACCACAGTGAAACGCTTACAATGAATCCATAGTTTCCTTTCAGCTCCATGTTAACTACGTTGCCATATTTCGAAAAACATTCCTTAATGTCCTCTGGTCTGGCTCGGTCCGGTAGGTTACCGACATAAACTTTGACACCCCCACTTGGCATTGATCGTCTTTTTATAAGAATTCAAAGGAGTATTTTCGCAATCGAGATAATTGATTATGGAACCAGAATATCTATAAGTTATATCACATATATTTGAAATTCCAGAAGGAGATATATTATCATTGTCAGCACCTGAACTAGATAAAGAACTTTGTGGCATTTGAAATAGGCTTCCAAAATGATTTTAACATAATTGTCAATTGGAATTTAAACTCTCTAAGAAAAAGCAAAAGAACAAATCTCCGATAAAATTGAAAAGAATGCATGTTTTGTTTCTTAAAAGCTTTGTTCGAAACTTTTTTGAGACAAGACTCAGAAAAGGTTTGCATCGATTGTACAACATTATTCAACCCAAGATTTGCTCCAAGGACGAGAAGCGCTACTAAAACTCAAAGTCTGGGTCTTTTCTAGCCTTGAGTTTTATCAACCTGAATCGTACCTTAAGTGCGCTGCTTTGTTCTTACCGTTACTCTCTATAGATCTTTTGAGTAGATTGGTGAACCTGTATTGTTAAGATCTTTAAAAATTTGTCTTTCAAATGCCTTTTACTTGATATTCAGATGAATTTTTGTACAAATGTGTGCCGTCGTCCAGATTAAATAAATTGGAACTATAAAAGAAGCTCCGGAAGTTCTTACACACTTTTGCTAGCCTTTCAAACTTCGTTAATAACTTAGCAAAGATCTATAGTCCTGAATGTTTCAAATTTTTTTTTTAAAAAACTTTAGCTAATAGTAATACAACCCACAGTTGAACAGCGCCCAATAACATGATTAATAATCAAAATTTTTATTCGTTATATCACGTGGTGATAAAATCAAATGTCGATCTTTTTATATTGTGTAACATTCGATGTCAATATGTCGTTCGTTCTTTTCTTTACATTAACTTTAGATGAGAGCCGAAGTTTTAAGGTTTTATAATTAGTATGTGTTTTAAAATATATTTTACTAAGATTTTTATAATTCTAAAGCATTTTTAAAGTCTACCAATATTTTTTCTTCTATTACTTCATATTCTTGTTTTCATTATCTAATATTTAATAATCTATTATTAATATTATCATACCTTTTTTAAATAATTCTAAACAATAATTTTACTTATTATTTCAATTATTTCGTTCTATAAAACATTTTGATGAAAAGCATATTCACATATACCTTTTTTTTTTTTTTATCAAAACATTTAAATTTTTGATAATAATAATTTTGATACATTATAATTTTTATAGCTTTTTTCTTTACATAATTTAGTAATATTTGAATTATTATTTATCAATCTTTAACTTGTCATAGATATTAAAATATAATATGTAGGAGTGTGATATTATTTTAGAGTAGTCCATTTTAAGTTCTTTAAATAAGATTTTTTTATGAAATTATATTTTTGATTTTAGTATTAATTTTAAGAGTTTAGAGTTAGAAATCAAGAATCTATCTCTCAAATTCAATTCTTTTATATAGATTATTTTTTTTAAATAAAACCGGTATTAATAAGCTTTATAGTGTCTTTTTTTCATAAGCTTATGATTCTTTGATTTGTTATTGATAAAGACTAAATTTACCTACAATCAAACTTTGATATGACAAACTCTTAATATAATAAATTATTAACATTTAATCATCAAATCAGTAATAACAAATTATAAGGTCATTTGACTTAAAATTTATAATAATAATAAGATTATTTGAGATCATTTTAAGATCATTTGCCAATACTAATCAAATATGTTAAATATATATTAAATTATTTAAAAAATTTGTTGTAATCTTATAATAAAGTTGAGATCTAAACCTAAAATTTATTATATTATGAGTTGATTGTACAGAAAAAATCTTTTTTTTTGATAGACTTATAATAGCAAAAGACCTAAATTTTCATAAATTTACATAAAAACAAACTATTTTTTTTTTATTTTTTATCAATATTAGTATAGATATTATAATAAGTTAACATTAGTATTTCTAAGCGATATTTTATTGAAACAATACTAATCATCTTATTTCACAAGTTCTTTTAGATTTTATTTATATTTTTAATGGTTATTATGTAGAAAATTTTCATAGTTCTCTCCATCAACAAATATAAAAATCAAATACTATGAAACAAATTATTCAATAAGTGTGAATAATCAATCAAATATGTGGTGACAACTCTTTTACTAATATGTTTTCTAAAAATCATAATATTAGATATTCAGCAAAGCAATTAGAATATTTGAAAAAATCAGTACTCTTTTTTTATTAAATTTATTTAAAAATGTATATCATAATCTTAACAAATTAAAGGCTATTTCTTTCAAATTATATGAACTTGTAACATTAGATGTAAAGTTAATATTAAAATTTTATCAATAACTTAGAATACAGCATATCCTTTCTAAAAAAAATAGATACTGTAATTTAGAAGGTTATGAAAATTTATATGAAGTAGGTTGTATTTTAATTTGTAGTCATAGTTATCATTTTGAATGTTTTTTATTTAAGTTAAAAAGTAAATGCTAATATTATGCTAATTATTTTATAAGCAGAATTGAAATATTTGTAAAGCCTTTCAAAATACTTTGGATTTTTTGGTGGGATAGCTACAGATGAAAATATAAATAAATTGGATATTACTGAATCTAATGATAATAATAATATTAAAATTAAAGATTTTTCTTTAGATAATAATATAAATTCTCTTTTGAAAGAGCTGTTAATACTTTAACAAATGTATAATTAAAGAAAATATTATTATGTATCATATAAAGTGTAGCTGAAAAACATTAATATAATATAAAATAATATAATGATTTAGTAAATATAATTGATATTTTTATAAATGGACAATAAAAAAAATTAATTCTCTTTATTAATTAACACTTTTCGATTTAATAATTAATGAATCATGTGACTTTATCAACCAATAGAATTTTAGCAATAATAAAAAATGATTTGCAAAAATTGACCAATCACAATAAAAGTTTACTATGCTATTTAAAATACATTATAATAAGATAAATCAATTCTTATATTATATAACAAAACTAATAAAATAGAATATCACTAGTCAAAATAATTTTTTTTTTTTAATTTTTAAAGATGTGATACTGTCAGTACTTTATTAATAAATTGTATGATAATAACTAGTTTAAAAATAAAAAAAGTAAATACAAAAAATAAAGACTAACTATCCCTCATAGTTCTATTTCAAACCCGTTTGGATCGATCAATCATCAAAATTCTCCCTCAGTACCCTCCTAAAGAAAAT